TCTGGAGGCTGAGGCAAAGAGGACACCTTGAGTCAGAGTCGAAACCAGCCTGAAGCAAGAGCGAGACCACGGTCTCTACTAATAAATAGAAAGAATTAATTGGCCAATTAGTTATAATATAGAAAAATTAGCCGGCATGGTGGCAATGCTTGTGTCCCAGCTACTCAGGAGCTGAGGCAGGAGGATCGCTTGAGCCCAGGAGTTTGAGGTTGCTGTGAGCTAGGCTGACACCAGGCACTAACCTGGTAACAGAGGGAGCCTGTCTCAAAAAGAAAAAAAAATTTTTTTTTTATTGTTGTTGTCTGTCCCCCAGGCTGGAGAGCAGTGGCGGATCATAGCTGCAATTGTAGCTCAGTGCCCACTGCTGCTATAAGCTCCTGCCTCAAGTGATCCTCCCACCTTGGCCTCCCTAAGTCTAGGAGTATAGGCATGAGCCACCACACCCAGCCTAAGAATCTGATTTTGACCAACCTGTGACTATGCCTTTTTCCAACCTGAATGACTTCAAAAAGATTTGAGGTGGGGGAAGCCTAGGACAAAATAATTGTTTCCTTTTTCCCCTCACTAAATTATTGGGGTTTTTTCCTTTAGGACCTCTGACCCTTAATCGAGTTCCTCTGCGAAGGACACACCAGAAATTTGTCATCGCCACCACCACAAAAATTGATATCAGCAATGTGAAAATTCCTAAGCATCTCACCGATGCTTACTTCAAGAAGAAGAAGCTGCGGAAGCCCAGACACCAGGAGGGTGAGATCTTCGACACAGAAAAGGAGGTACGTTTCTGTTTCTGTCATCTCCTATGTTAACATTGGCCCTTCTAGTTGGGAGTGACAATAAACAGACTTAAGCGGTGTTACACAAAAATAAGAAAAAATGGCGTAAATAATGAGGAATGTCTGGGAAATACTTGTTAGTCCACATTCTTCTAAATATAATAGTTCATCCTTGATGTGTATTAAATTGGGCAAAAGGGTAAGAGCTGCTGTTTTTATTATAGAGAAAACTAGGTTTTAGTTGTCAAGATTGCTTTTAATGTTTCTAAATATTCCTGGGAATGAATACGTGAGAAATGGGATTTCTTAGTTGACTAATAAGTAGCTGGTGGTACATGTGTCTGTTTTTAAACGTTTAATTTTCTCTTCATTTAGAAATACGAGATTACAGAACAGCGCAAAGTGGATCAGAAAGCTGTGGACTCCCAAATTTTACCAAAAATCAAGGCAATTCCTCAGCTCCAGGGCTATCTACGATCTCTGTTTGCCCTGACAAATGGAATTTATCCTCACAGATTGGTATTCTAAATTTTTACAAAGAACCTAATTAAATAACTGAAAGATACATTCTGTTTGTGTCTCTTTTTTAAAACAGTTGGTCTTTTAAAAAAATTCTTACCCACCCAGAGATACAGTGTGACCCTGCCAGCTTGCTGGGGCTTTTGCCTCTGCTGTAAAGAATGGGAGTGGGGGCAGTGGCCTCTGCAGTAGAGCTGCTGCTTGTCAGCTTAGAATCAGCTGCATCCTGGGCTTCAGATTCATTCTTGGTGTCTGGCTTCTCAGCTTTTTTACCCACCCTCTGCCAATACAAAATAGTGGCATTTCCCCACTCTTCCTACTAAATAAACTATACATGGGTGAGAAACAACTATGGCTTCCTCAGACCACAAACTCTTGCACCCCATGATCATTGGTGGGTTTTTTTGTTTTTTCTAGTAAGAGCAAGCGAGGTCTTGCCAGGTTGCCCAGGCTGGGTACAGTGGCTATTCACGGGCATGCCACATAGCCCTGTACTCCTGGGCTCAAGTCTCCCAAGTAGCTGGCATTATAGGTGCGCACCCCCAGCCCTGACTGCTATTACCTGTTCATCTGGAGTCTCTAAACGTACGGCCAGTGAGTCATCCATTACTTGCCTCTTTTCTTAACCAAAACACTTGGGTACTGTACATATTGCTATACAGTTGATATATTTTGATCATTCTATAGAAAGAGTTCATCTGCTACATGATATTATTCTGTTCTTTGGGTATTTGGGTTTTTATCATGTTTTGTTTTTAATTATTAGAATGCCATTCCATATTTATGTAAATACCATTTTATAAAAAGCTTTCCCACAGCAAAAAAAAAGGTGTTTATGAGAAGAATGGCTTGTTTTATTTATATTTCTGTAAATCCTTCTTGGGGGGTGGAGAAGCAGGGTCTCACTCTAACCCAGGATGAAGCACAGTAGCATAATTGTAGCTTACTGCAACTCCTGGGCTGGAAACTATCTTCCCACCTCAGACTCCTGAGTAGTTGGGGCTAGAGGTGCATGCTTCCCGCCCCTGGCTAATTTTTTTTTCATTTTTGGTGTGGGACAATTTCACTATGTTGCCCAGGGTGGTCTCAAACTTGTTGCTTCAAACAACCCTCCCACCACTGCCTCTCAAAGTGCTAGGATTACAGGCATGATCCACCACACCCAGTCTATATCTCTTTTAATATCTGGCTTAATAGATTCTCATATCTGCTTCTGCATTTAATATGTTGCAATATCACATGTTATATATTACACTTTTGGAAAACTCCATTCTACATTCATGAGAGTTAAAAGACAATATCTTTTTTTCTTTTTCTTTTTTTTTTGAGACAGAGTCTCACTTTGTTGTCCAGGCTAGAGTGAGTGCCTTGGCGTCAGCCTCGCTCACAGCAACCTCAATCTTCTGGACTCAAGCGATCCTTCTGCCTCAGCCTCCCAAGTAGCTGGGACTACAGGCATGTGCCACCATGCCCGGCTAATTTTTTGTATATATATTTTTAGTTGGTCAATTTCTATTTTTGGTAGAGACGGGTCTCGCTCAGGCTGGTTTCGAACTCCTGACCTTGAGCAATCCGCCCACCTCGGCCTCCCAAAGTGCTAGGATTACAGGCGTGAGCCACCGCGCCCGGCTAAAAGACAGTATCTTAATAGTATCACAAAATGTTTTGACTTCACGGATCTTTTTAAGGATCTTGGGGACATCTAAGGATCCCTGGATCCTACTTTGAAAACCATTGCACTAGCCCCTTCACATTGTTCCAACAGTGAAATCAAATAGATTCCACCCCTTTTGACTTGCTTTGACCAGTATGAATGTGGTGTAGTGATGTATGTGGATCACCCAAGCCTAGCCCTTGTGCAGTTGCCATTCTTGCCCTCTTGGGACACTGCTGCAGCCACGTGAAGAGGCCAGGGCTAACCTCCCCGAGGATAAATGGAGAGAGAGCCCCAACCTTGCAAGAGGCAGCTATGCAAGTGAGGCCACCTTAGGGCAGCCAGCCAGGCACACTCAAACTGCCAGATGCCTGCAGCCACGTGAATGACCCTAGGCAAGACTAGCAGAACCGCCCAGCAGAGCCCAACCCAACATGCTGGACCCACAGAATTATCAGCACATAAAATGGTTGTTTTAGCCACTGTTCAGTACAATAACTGCTGCTATGTATATACATCTGCTTTGAAAAAGTACTGGGAGATATACAATAAGGTGTTAGCAATGGTTATCTCAAAGGATGAGAAGAAAGTGTCTTTCTTTTGCTTATTCACATGATCTTTCTAAAATGTACACATACTGCTTTTATAACAAAGATTAATTTAAAAAGTAAATTGCAGAACATAGAAAATATCACTTTTTAAAAAGTCTAGTTTTACAACTATAATAAAATGTGTGTATACAACAGGAAGGAATGTGCTAAAGTAAAAGAACAGAAAAAAAATTTATAAATTTTTTTTTTTTTTTTTTTTTTGAGACAGAGTCTCACTTTGTTGCCATGCTAGTGTGCCGGGCATCAGCTAGGCTCACAGCAACCTCAAACTCCTGGCTCACAGCAATCCCTCTGGCCTCAGCACCCAAGTAGCTGAGACTACAGGCATGCGCCACCATGCCAGTTATTTCATATATATTTGTTGCCAATTATTCATTTATAGTAGAGACGGGTCTCGCTCTTGTCAGGCTGGTTTTGAACTCCTAAACCTTGAGCATCTCCCGCCTCAGCCTCCCAGAGAGTTGGGGTTACAGGCGTGAGCCACCGTGCCCGGCCTAAATTTTTTTAAAAATTTGAATAATACAAAGTTAACGGGTACAGAGGCGGGTGTGGCGGCTCACGCCTGAATTCCTGACTCACAGAACAAACCATAAGAGATAGTAAGGTGATTGTTTCAAGACACCAGGATTTGGGGGATTTGTTGTGTAGCAGTGGATAACCAAAGCAGAGCTCAGGGTCGCCAAGGTCCGTGGCTATTCGTAGCGCCAAGGTATTCAAGTGACAGTTGACAGGTCACATTGGTCACCTCTGAGATGGCCTCTTTTCCAGTCCACTTGGTTTCTTTTTTTTTTTTTTTTGAGACAGAGTCTCGCTTTGTTGTCCAGGCATAGGTGGTGCCGTGGCGTCAGGCTAGTCACAGCACCTCAAAACTCCTGGGCTCAGTGATCCTTCTGCCTCAGCCTCCCGAGTACGCTGGGACTACAGGCATGGCCACTGCCCAGCTAATTTTTTATATATCATATCAGTTGGCAATAATTTCTTTCTTTTAGTAGAGCGGGGTCTCGCTCTTGCTCAGGCTGGTTTTGAATCCTGACTTGAGCAATCCGCCCGCTCGTGCTCCCAGGCTAGGGTTACAGGCGTGGAGCCACAGCCGCCCGGCCATCACTTTGGGTTTTAACTTGGTCTGTGCTCTGTTGTGCTTAATTCACAAATTTTATGGCTTAAGAACACAAGTTTATTCTTTTACAGTTCTGGAGGTCAGAAGTTCAAAATCATTTCAGCAGTCAAGCAGGGCGGAACTGATTCCTTCTGGAAGACTCTAAGGGGCAAGTCTGTTTCCTTGCCTTTTTCAGCTTTTAGTGAGTGGCCACTCATATTCCTTCACTTGTGGCTTATTCATTCATTCATTTGGGATCTATGTTGCCCAGGCTGGTCTTGAACTCCTCAAGCTATCTTCCCGCCTCAGTTTCTCTGATAGCTGGGATTATAGGCACATGCCACCATATCCAGCCAAATGAGATGTGTCTCCCAAAGAAAAGCATTCCTCTGTTTTTCAGTCTTTAAAGTGCATGAATCCAGGCTAGGCAACGTGGCTTACACCTGTAATGCTCTAGCACTCTGAGAGGCCGAGGTGGGAGAATTGCTTGAGATCAGGAGTTCAACACCAGCCTGAACAAGAGTGAGAACCCATCTCCACTAAAAAATAGAAAAAATTAGCTGGCAAAAAATAGAAAAAATTATTCAGCATGGTGTGCATGCGTAGTCAGCTACTCAGGAGGCTGAAGCAGGAGGTCTCTCTCTGCTCTTTTTTGTTTTGGAGACAGAGTTTGCTTTGTTGCCGAGCTACAGTGCTCATGCGTCAGGCCTAGCTTCACAGCAACCTCAAACTCCTGGGCTCAAACGATCCTTCTGCCTTGGCCAGAGCAGCTGGGACTATAGGCATGCAGCACTATGCTCAGCTAATATATATATATATATATAATTTTTTTTTAGTTGTCCAGCTAATTTCTTTCTATTTTTTTAGTAAAGATGGGGTCTCGCTCTTGCTCAGGCTGGTCTCGAACTCCTGAGCTCAAACAATCCACCCACCTCGGCCTCCCAGAGTGCTAGGATTATAGGCATGAGCCACCATGCCAACACCCCTTTTAAGTTGGAAAAACAGAGGCATAGATAGGTGGAATAACTTGTTTGTGATAACATGCAAAGGAGCTGGGACCCAAACTCAAGCAGTCTATGATTTGAACACCACACACTGCATTTCATGTAAATGCTTTTCTTTGGTGACTAGTAGTACTGAAGTTTCCCTAATAATCCTCACACTCATTTATTAACTCATACACATCAGCTACCAGCTTTAAACATGACATGCTCAGGGAACCCCCAGACCAAGTGCCCGGACTTCTCATCCCATTTGGAATTACTTACTCAAAGTAGCTTCCCTTGGCCAGGCACAGTGGCTTACACCTGTAATCCTAGCTCTATGGGAGGCTGCTTGAGGTCAGGAGTTCAAGCCCAGCCTAGAGCAAGAGCAAGACCCCTGTCTCTACTAAAAAAGTAGAAAAAAATTAGCCAGGCAACTAAAAATAGAAACAAAAAATTAGCCAGATGTGATGATGGTGTGCACCTGTAGTCCCAGCTACTCGGAGGCTTGAGGCAGGAGGATTGCTTGAGCCAGGAGTTTGAGGTTGCTGTGAGCTAGGCTGATGCCATGGCACTCACCTTAGCCTGGGCAACAGAGTGAGACTCTGTCTCAAAAAACAAAACAAAACAAAAACAAAATCAAGTAGCTTCACATCTTTTATGAAAGAGGGAAGCTGCCAGTCTCCTTGAGGATTGAACCCC